ACGACATAAGATGGCATATTATCTTAAATGATGTGGTTTTTAAAAAAAAATCAGTGAAAAAAAATCAGTGAAACTCTACTTAGAAGTTGTGATGCATCGCTGCGAGTAAAGTTTTACTGTATTTTCTTGATCGCCGTGAATGTCCTTCCAAATACTCAAGAATTAAGCTTACTTTGTAGACGAACAATCTGGCGGTAGACCCTCGAGGAAACGGATCCAATATAAAATAAACGACAAAATTGTTACTGGCGCTGTTGCTGTTGGACCTCATGCAAGAGCGGGGATCAAAGGTAATTAGAAATAACTGGAAAGTAACCATGCACACGTTATGGTGATGACGCCCATCATATTAGAGCATTCAATACTGCTGAAATATCGAAGACAGGTATCAATTAAATCTCCCTTAAGCCTCTGTCATCTTAACCCCGTATACTGCTCTTATTATTGATATTATCATACAAGTAGGTCAATAGGAAGAAAAGGATTAGCTTTTCGTGAGAAAGGGTATGTCACGCAAACATCCGTTTTCGTCATTACTGCTCTTTTCGTTTCCGTTCGAGGGGATAAAAAAGGCGCTTGGCGGAACACAAGAGAAAAGGCTAACTGAGGGAAGAAGTGGTAATTCGTAGAAAAACAAACAGCTATTCATTTGCCTTTTGTTACTAGCATAAAATTATAGGTTCAATAAAATTCGCGTATATTTAAGAGCTTGAAGCAACGAAACGATAAAGATTCAAGTTCTGAGGGACTTTCGAATTGGGGCGCCATGAACCAAAAAGTGATGAAACGGTACAACGTCATCATGATGCAAACTGGAAAGATCAGAAACAAAATATTGTTAGCGTCTAGTGTGGAAGAAGGAAAATAAAGAAGGCAAAAATAAAAATTTGTCACAGAACAATGGAAGACGTTTTGAAAAATTCGTTTGGAAAGACCTGGAACGAGTTTCAAACTTCTAACTGTTTTTCAGGTGATGAACAAGTTCATACTGAGACCGGACAATATCAAGACAATTCCGGAAGTGAAGAAACGATCTCTATGTCTAAGTGGTCGAACGAAGATTACTTCGGGAATCCGGAAAATTTCATCCAAGACATGGATGACAACGCTGGTCAACTCAAAGACGCCAAAGAAGACTTCCTTCTCCATAGCATCCTTCCGTTTCTAGAAGAAACGTGGGGTAAATGTCCCTCCTCTAACGAGGAAGTATACGAAAACCTCGCCAAAATTTCTTGCAGGGCAAAATGTGGCAAAGCCGTAAGCCAGGCACTTCATTTGCTTCTTGATCTGATTGGTAAGGACAACTTTGACAACTGCTGCAACAATTTACTGGTTGTGGAAGCAATTGTGAGATCATCAATTCTCTCCTCTGAGGGATTGTTCAGAAGAGGCAGGGTCGATTCAGGTAGAGAAATGAAAGAGCTCAAACTGTGTGTGTACAGCCGTATTATATCCTTGCTAGTCACGCATCAAGCTCTGCAAGGTGATTCGTTCATCAGTTGTTTGGAAAAAGATTTGAAAAAGGTAAAGGATGAGCTTAAGACATTTAGTTTGCAGCTATGCATTAGAAAAAAGGATGGTCTCCGATATTCAACAGAGTTTATCATCAAAGCAATCAACCATCTTTTAAAGCCCAATGACAAGTTGCAAGACCTTCTGGAGGAATGTCGTGAGTTCTGTAAAAACCAAGAAATCGAAGTTAATGATTTGAGGTCGCTTCGTCAGCTTAATCATAAGAAGAATGGCGACTGGCGGATCGATCTACACTACATGGCTCTTTATCTCCAAGGAAAGGTAAAAGCTAAAAGAATGATAGAAGACTGACCTCGAAACTAAGAAATAGAAACCTAAATTACGATTTCGCTCCACTGTAAAGTGTATTCATAATTCCAAAAGAAGGCCTGAGTTATAGAAAATTATCATCATCAAACATAAGAAATTAAAATTCCAACTTAGAACGGAGCTACAGTGGGTTGTGTAGATTAGGTTCCCTTCTAATTTTAAAAAATAAGGCAAGGCACATGTTGAAACATGTTTCATGCTACAAATTGCATTTGCCTTTTTGTATAGGTGCACAGTGAACGTCCAATTCCACGAATGGAGACCGAGCGACGAGCTATGAAGCTGCTCAGACTTCTCGTAGAAAAGTACCTTGATGGAAATGGTGGAAAGGACTGGAGGTTTTGTATGCTGGCAGCTACAATATTTTCAGACATTTCAATGAAGAACGAGACAAAAGGTAAAACAGAAATTATCGATAACAAGAAATGTTCTTTATGTTTAAGTTTTTGCAAGCCAAATCTCTCGATGCTATCTTACTCTAGGATAAAAAACACATATGTGTTATTTTCCTAAAACAGAAATTAGGACAGAGGCAGGTAGCAGCTTGGTGTATCTTCTAAAAGATCCCAAAGTACAAAAGACTCCAGAGTGCAAGGCCATCGTTCAAAGCCAATCCGAGAAAGTGCTGTTCTGTCCCGATATAGAAACCAGGACGTTCCTGACTCGAGCTTTGATTAAGAGCAAAAATGAGGAGGTAGAACTGGACACAATGCAGCACGCCAAACACCTTTCTTGGAAGTATAGGACTTCGCCACTAGAAATCAACGATACAACCATAAGTAAAAGCCCAACCTGCTTCGTGAATCATGGCATGTTCCAGAGAAGGAAAGTGGCCGTTAAAGTTCTCTTGGTGAAAAAGCAGCATCTCGTAGAACGGAACTCTAACATTCCAGGTAAAGAGAGTCTAAAACGAGAGGTCGAAAACCTGCGACAATTAAAAACAGAACGGCATCCAAACTTCCCTGTTTTGTTGGCATCCAACACTAAAACCTTGCCATACCACCTCATTACCGCATTTGAAAAATCAGGGGACCTGTTGCAGTTTCTTCGGAGGTCGCGTGGGAGAAATCCTCCTCTTCAACCAGTCCAGCTCATTAAGATGCTGTTAGATATCACTGACGCTCTCCACTTTTTAGAAGTAAAAGGTTTGGTTCATCGCGCTGTAATGGCGGAAAATGTACTCGTCGGAGACAATTATATCTGTAAATTGAGTGGCATGCAACACCTTCGGCAGGTTACCAGCCAGGGTAAGACATGATTGAAGCTTGATTAATTGACTGACTAACTGACCAACTAACGACCGTATCGCTTCCATCATTGCTTTCTTCCTTCCTTTCTTTCAATTCATCTTTCGTTAATATACTTAGTCGAACAGTCCCTTTTCAGTCTGTCATATGACTACAACCACTGGTAATCACTTGATTTATTTTTCGATATTAAATTACAAAATCGAATTTCTTTATTCGCAGTTGAATATTCCAATGCGCTGTACAGTTATTCCTCGGCAGGCGACGGTTTCCCAGATTTTGTCAACTCGATCAGTGAGGAGGAGCTTCCACTAAGATGGAAGGCACCAGAGGTTCTCTCGGAATGCCGTTTTTCTTCAGCCTCCGATGTGTGGGCACTTGGGGTCGTAATGTATGAGGTGCTGACCTACGGGTGTCTTCCCTACAGACTCATCTCGGACAATGAAGAGTTGTGCTCTGCTGTCGACTCAGTTAAACCAAGCGACTGACACGAAGTGACTGACAATATTAGCCTCCCGGTTAGCTCAATGGATAGAGCGCTTGACCATTGTGCGGGAGGTCGAGGGTTCGAGCCCCGGCCGGACCAATATTCAGGGTCTTAAAATAATTGAGAAGACTATGCTACCTTTCTATAACATCAAGAAATAATTAGATATTCTAGCCTTCTCGGATAGGGACGAATAAATGGAGGTCCCGTCTCCTGCAGGGTTAGGGGCAGGAGACGTTAATTTCCCACGCACGAGATTACTGTGTGATAGATGTCCTCCCGAGGACGAATTTTAAGGCGGTTGGGGGAGCTTAGAGAGCTTTTATAACCATTGTGACTTGAAGATCACATATTTGAAGTATTTACGGTGGGAAAAAACCCAGTGCTTTAAATCAAAGAGCTAAATATCTGTCTATTCTTAAATAGCAACAGGAGGAAAGGAAAGGCACAGTTCGAATTGAATTGAAATGTAGGGAAACCCTTAGTAGTTAGAAGGATGGTTGTCACGTAGATTATATCAAGGAGGGCGGCATTGGGGCCTATTAGAAACCGCAAAACCGTAGAATAAAAATCATCCAAAACCGAAAAACTGAAACAAAAGTCGATCAAAAGCAAAAACCGCATGCAAAACTGTCAAAACCGATACATTTTCACATCACAGTTATCAAAACCCTGATCAATCCGTTACAGCGGTGACAAGTGGAGCATATAGAGTAAACTACACTAATTTCATTACAGTATTTGTGAATGACATGGACTTGGCATTCGTATCTTCTAGTATCTGCTTAAATTATAGGCTTTATTTCAGCTGTTCTCTCGAGGATCTCGAGCGTGATCTCTGCGGACTCAGCAGCTGGTAATGGAGCCCAGTTAAATTATGGAAATTCAGAATTGCGTATAGCGGCTATTCGAGATCAGTGGAGGCGCGTAATTGCCGCTCAGATCAAACCCAAATAGAAAACTCTGAAAACCCGTTAGTATTTTACACGAAAACCGAAAACCAAATGCTAAAAAACGGAAATCCGCAAACCGCAATGAACATCAAAACCGAAAAACCGACTTTTTGAGCACAAAAACCGAAAAACCGATCTAAAAAATAGCCAAAACCACAAAACCGAAAATCCCAATGCCCCCCTCATTAAGAGCCGTGCTCGTCCTTAAGAACAAAGATGGGCATCTTTAAGACTGATATCGACTTGTCTCGTAGCCAAGCCTGTGGATGTAACCTGACAGTTAAGCCTTTTTCCCACGTGTATCTATACCACAAATTTGTGCTATTAACGGTCCTCTAGTATTTGATGTCTAAGCTCATTCATAGGTTAAAATATTAAAATAAAATTAGCCCCCCATGTTTTCTCCAATTTTTTTTTCTTGCACGCTGATAAGTATATACCATTACAAAGCCGATCCTGCAATGTCACGCAAGTGAAATCCAGGTATCGCCTGACCTACAGCAATTATGAATAACTCAACGTCAGTGACGTAGTTAAACCTAAATGGCCTGAATCGACAAGAAGCCTCAGAGAATGTCGCTGATTGACAATTGAGTTTGCTCATACCTGATACATGATCATAGGCCAGCCACCGTTAAAATATCTCCAAAAATATTTTGTTCACGTAAGAGGATTATTGTTTTGTGATATTTTTGCGTAGAAAGAAAGCAAATCTATCTTTCAATAACCAATGGTGATAACTTTATTTCACATAGTTTATCGATTTGTCAGAGTTCTATTTACAGAGGGATATGTCAGGGGGGTTTACCTTGGAAAGTGCGTAAAAGTCTAACAATCCTATGAACGCATAGGAGTTGATCCCAGACATCGTCGTCTAGATTTCAATGTTTTCAATGTCTTCGGACGACGGTAAGTTGGAAACCCAATCTCAAGTACTTTCCACTTTGATAACTTTTAGCTACAATTGGAAAACTCTTAAACTGAGATTTTCCATACTTGCTCTGAGCAACCGACTTTCTTCATACTAAGTTTCCAACTGGCTTTCATCTGGGGTCCCGTTTAGGACTGACAATGGAGTGAACCCAACTGTCTCTTTAACTCAAATTTTGCCTCAAGTGGACTCCGTGTGACGTGTATCGTATTAATCTCGCTGGACGCTCTGCCGGAGTAGCATTCCGATGGTTCTTAATGAAATCTTGGCAATGAACAAGGAGTGCAATGGCTGCACAAAAGAGCAGCGTTTCCCATTACTCTTCAACCGTTGATTGATTTTACATAAGACCGCCTCGTCTAGTTTTTCTAATAGCGAATCATTTCCCGTTTACAAACAAACCTCATATTGGCTTGGTGTTGTCACCTATAGTAAGCTGCTTAGTGGGTCATGCAAAGCTTCAACTCATACTAAGACTCTTGATATATGTAAGGCTAATTATAATAGCAAATACGACATTAGGCAATTTTATCGAAGTCGGAGGGGGAGAAAGTTGCCACATGACTTCTAACAGTAGCCCCTGGCAATTAATCGATAGTTAATCACCAGTTCCCACAGATGGCAAACCATTTTGCAATCAGAGCTGTCATTCCGCAAAGTTTTTTTCAAAATGCTGCCGCTAAAGACACGATGTCACGATTAATTGTCTCGATTCGGCTGCGGCAATAGATGTATATTTTGATTATGTGTAAGCTAGATCTGATTTAGTTTCAAGTTAAGTTCATTAAGGAAGAGATTTCATTCGTGGTATCTTGCGTTTATCTAATGTAGTATTTCACTCTATTTCGATTCCTTGTAGTAATTAATATTGGTTAGAGCAGCTCATGCGTTACATTAATATTCAAAGCGAAAGCTGTTTTTATTTAAATAATGACGCGCGGGTTTATCTAATGGAACTCAACTGTTAACTGTGAAAGAGCGAATTTTGTTGTTATGTCAAAATTGACTGTTTTCAGGAGCTGAAATAGGGAAGTTATGTTATGTGCTCAAGTTAAAAAAGAAAACGGAAAAAAGCCTTCATGTTAGGACTTCCGCTCTCAAGCTCCACTGACAAATTATTTTCGGTTGCACAATAGGGTCTACCCTTAGGGTCACGAAGTCGAAAGTAAAAACAAGCTACTAACAAATGGGAGCATACTTTAGCAGTTCTGCTGAAGGAAATGTTTTGCTTGGGTGGTTATGTCTTATAAATATTTTTATGTGTTTACCAATCCCGACGTGTTAAAAGAGGATCAAATGAACTCAATAGGTGAGCATAGTGGCTTAGTAAACTTAGTAACGATAAGATTACGAGACGCAGTTGAATTACAATAAGAATCTTTCCGCTGCAACGGTGTCCGCTAAAAATTCGAAATACTAAATATCTTGTTTGCCTTTTTTACCTAGGTTCGAGTTTTAGTGATATGAGTACGGATGCTTCCTCACAAATTTCGGGTGAGTAGTTTTTTTTTGTTTTTTGTTTTGTTTTGTTTTGTTTTTTTTTTTCATAATAGAACCACCTCAAAAATTGCAGTTGGAAATTGTAACCACTAAAAATTTTCATCGCAAAAGACAGTTCAAACCCGCTCCTCGAAGTTTCATTTAGTTAGGTCAATATTTAGCTAAATCTTTGAAAAACACGAGAAACATTTCTATGGCTCGAGAAGTACCCCTAGTTAAACAGACGTTGGTAAAAATCAATCATTTCAGATCAACAGTTCTCTTCTAATATGTTTGCATTGACTTGAAATTTTCAGGATTTGGTTCTCGCACTGTAGCCTTTTTCTTTTTCAATTTCATTTTTGTTTCTGAATGTCAACTCAAATTTATTTTTGTTGTTATATGAGAGGAGGTTGCGTTCACGTCGGGTCCTCTCAATTTCGTTTCATTCGAACTGAAGAAGCATCAAATGGACTTGTCCCGCGAGAGAAAGCTCCGTTTACGTTGGGGCTTCTTAATTTCCTTTCATTCAAGCTGAAGAAGCGTCAGCCGGAGTTTTTACCCGAAAGGGCGTCAGGCGAAAGCAGGCAAAAAAATGTTAGAAATTTCGGAACCGTCAGTCATGTCTACGAAAGTTATTGGGGACTCCCAAACGTAACGTCCTTCGCTGGAAGACAGTAGACTTTGCTATGTGAACGCTGTTTACCTAAAGCTTTAAGGGAACTTCCAAAATAACTTGAGTTGGACCATAGGGCATAAAGATGAGACATAGGGTGGTATATTATCTTAAACAATGTGTTCCTTTTTAATATTGTAATTAAAAAGATCATGAGTGAAAGTCTACGAGAAAAATGTTTATCCGGCAGCAGACCCTTCAGGAAAAAAAGCCCATATAAAATATACGTCGAACATGTCAATGGCGCTGTTGTTGTTGGGCCCCACGCAAAAGCGAGGATCAAAGGTAATCAGACAAAATAATTGATAAAATAATCAAGTCCACTTTATGGTGTCGATGCCCATCCTATAAGAACATTTTGTATCAAAATATTGCTGAAATATCGAAGACAACTATCAATTAAATCTTCTCTAAGCCTTTCTCATCGCATCCCCGCATGCTGCTTTTACTAACGATACTTTGAGACTGGTAGGTTAAGAGGAAGAAGGAAAGGCCATATCACGCAAAAAGTTCTTGTTTTTTTGCTCACGTTTTCGTCATTACCACTCAGTTCGTTTCCGTTCGAGGGATTAAAAGGCACTTGTCGGAACACAAAAGAAAAGACTAGCCCCGGGGGGTACTCCATATATTCCTGGGTGGGGAGGTGCGGCGCGGCCCCTCATACCCTGACCCTGTTTAAGACAAATATCGCTGATTTTCCTACCCTGTTTAAGACAGAATTCTGATTTTTGAAACCCTGTTTAAGACATTTAATGTGCCTGGTATCAATGCCAAAATCAACGGAATTCAATATTAATTAATATGAGAGCTTGTAAAAATTTTGCCCTTTATCTTCCAAGAAAAGATATCCTGTTTAAGACAAAAATTGATAAATCGATACCCTGTTTAACACAAAAATCTCGAAAAACATACCCTGGCTGGCCGCACGTCCCCATTAAGGGAGTACCCCCCGGGAGACTAGCAAAGAGCAACAATGGTAATTCGTACACAAACAAGCAGCAACAATTTGTTTTTCGTTGCTTGCATAAAATTATACGATGAATTCGATTAGCGTAAATTTAGGAGCGCGAAGCAACAAAACGATAAAGATTTAGGTACTAAGACGCTTTCCAGTTGGGTGACAGGAGTCAAAAAATGATGAAATGGTACAATATCATAATATTTTAATACGTGATGCAAACTGGAACGATTAGTAACAAACTATCGCTAGATTCCAGTGTGGAAAAAGGGAAAATAGAAGGCAAAAATTAAAATTTTGTCACAGAACAATGGAAGACGTTTCCAAAATTCGTTTGGAGAATCCTGGCATGAATTTCACAATTTTGACTATTTTTCAGGTGATGAACAAGTTTCTACTGAGACGGGACAATTTCCAGACAATTCCGGAAGTGAAGAAGTGAATTCTACGTCTAAGTGGGCAAACGAAGATTACTTTGAGAACCCAGAAAAATTCATCCAAGACATGGATGACAACGCTGGTCCATTCAAAGACGCTAAAGAAGACTTCCTTCTCCATAGCATCCTTCCGTTTCTAGAAGAAACGTGGGGTAAATGTCCCTCCTCTAACGAGGAAGTATACGCAAACCTCGCCAAAATTTCTTGCAGTGCAAAATGTGGCAAAGCCGTAAGCCAGGCACTTAATTTGCTTCTTCACCTGATCTGTAAGGACAACTTTGACAACTGCTGCAACAATTTACTGGTTGTGGAAGCAATTGTGAGATCGTCAATTCTCTCCCG